CCAGGTGCTCCCTGAGGGACTGCCATCAGGACTGCCATCAGAGCAGGCTTGTCCACACTTGTCCACGCTTGGTGTTGACTTGGGGACTTGTGTTGGACAGGTCCAGGGGGAGCTGCTCACCTGTTCTCTTCCCAGCTCCCAGCATCACACGTGGCTCAGGTGCACATGGCCATGCTTGGAATTTCTGTAACAGGTGAAACTGAAGTCATAAAGAAATGAGAATCGCTGCTAACCGCCAGAGCACAGAGCGAGTGCCAGGCTCTGTCCGGGGACAGCACACATTCCGAGCCATTCCACGCTTTGCCACCGCCTGTGCTGTTCTGTCCCCAGCACACTGTGGGTGACAGGGTCCCCACCCTGTTGCGGCGGATGGTGGAGCTGCTATTCAGCAGGTCGACACCCGCGGGGTCAGTGGGTCTGAGGACAAGGAGGGAAGGGCAGGCTCCTCCCGTTTCTGTACCCCTTGCCGCCATGGATTATCTTCAAAGCAGGTAACTGGAACCAAATAAATCGGCCAGGCTGTGCATCCTGGCACTTAAGGCCCCTTCCGGAGGGCCTGGAATGAAACCTGGGAAGCTCTCGGGAGCCCAGCCACTGAGGCAGAGTTGTGCTGGGTGACATGTTTTGTAAGTAGGTCACAGGAAAGGAAGTCAAGTCCCAAAGGCTCCCTCCCACTGTGTGTCAGAGGAAAGAGTGTGTGGCCCTGAGCCCTGGGCGGGGGGCACCAGCTGCCAGATCTGGGGGTGCACTGTGAGCCTGTCCCGATGATAGAGCTGGGCACGTGTTTTTTGTCCCCCCGCCCACATGTGTTGGGCACACCAGCAAGGCCGCAGCCACCTAAGGTTTTGTCCTACCCGCCCAGCCCTGCCGCTTATGCTTATCTCACTAACCTGGCAGCACCCCTAGGGTTTTGGTGGTGTTTGTGTGTTTTTGTATTTCATCTGGTTAGTGTGATAGATGTTGCTGGGAGAGTTTGGGGGGACAGATTGGGGATCAGGAACAGGACAGAGCGAGCGGTTCCAAGGTGCAGGCATCTTTCCTGCGTGGGCATGGGGTCCTGTGACTCTCCCAGGAGCAAGAGCATGTGATGGGTGACTTGCTTACATGCAGTGAACTGTTTCCTGTCCTGCACTCTAGGGCCCAGGGGAGCCTATAAACCCTAGTCCCAGGTCCGAGGTAAATCTTGACTGATTTCTCAGGATGGGTGTGCTGACACATTAGTTGGCTGAAATTATTTTACGTTGTCATGAAAAGGGTCTTATTTCTATTGCCTGCCCTAGTTCCCTGTAGCCAAGTCACAGGAATTCATGTCGAAAATAGAACAGGGAAAATTACTTTTAAACAGTAGTTTGGTGTGGACCTTGCAGTATTTCTCCTGCTGCACATTGAGGCTGAGCTTTAGAGAATATTGTTTCCCCACTGAGTCTGGAAATCCCTGGGAAGCCAAACTTCCTATTTGGAGCCCCAGGGGTCCCCTTCATTTGCTGTGGTGGGGGCATTTCCCTCCCCCTGTACTCCCACCGCAGGCAGGAGTGATACACTGCCACCCTGTGTTCTCTTAGAGTTGTCAGAGGTGACAGGTCATTTATTACCTCCAGCGCTACTTTTTCTCACTTCCCTCCTCTGTTTGCACTGTTTCCCCTTCATTCCCTCCAACTGTAGATTTCATTGGTAGGAATTCTGTAAATGATTCATCACTTTAAGATAGGGTTCATGAGTGGTGTAGTGTGTTCGGCATCTTCAAAATGCATTTGGCTCCTTGATGATTTCTTTTGTTTTATTTAGATTATGGAAATAGGAAGATAAAATCAACTAGTATTTTGTTTTCATTGTCATCCAATGGGGATGATCTTACCATATGACTTGGTTTTATGCCTGAAAGCAACTCTGATGCATTTCTTATGATATCGCTTTAAATATTATTATATTTAATATAATATAAAATTTAATAATAAATATTATCCCTCTATTTGTGTTGAGGGATAAGGAGTTCTTAATTTTACAGCAGAGTAATGGGGAGACATGACAGCTTTTCTTTTTAAGGTATTTAACTGTGGGCCTGTGCATTTTTGGAGAGAACTGAGATGCAGTTTGCCCTCTCCCCAGTTAAGCTTTGTCTGAATAAAGGCATGGGGTCTTGAGTGTGACAGGCAGGATACGCGGGAGTCACTTGGTTTACTGGGAAGACCTTCCCTCTGTAATTCCTACTTTAAACAGTAACATCGCCGAATACTACTATTAGCTGCTTCTTTAAGAAAGGGGCATCGTTAGTCATTTTCAGAACTAGACACTTTTTCTTCAGGAGAGAGTCTGCTTTCTGAGAGGCTGGGCTTCTGTGTTGATACGCTTCTTTTCATCGGGCCTTGCAGAAAAGTGCCATCAGACCACCTGCTGGTTATCAGATGAGGAGTCACCGAATGTGTTAAATAGAGGAGGCTCTTTTTCTGAACAGGAAGAGGGAGCTCCAACCCAGAGAGCTCTGACTGCCAGTGTTTGATGGGCTTGGGGATGTGGGCTTTGGCATCTAAGGCAGGCATTATATAGACAGAGCACAGTGTTTTAGCCGCCGGTTGTGGGCTGTGCCGTTCTCTGGGACCCTATGGTGCTGAGTGACGTTAACATGTTATGACCTCCCTGTACGATGGCTGTTAATTCTATTGGTGATAGCTTCTTGAGTGTCGTAATTGTGCATGCTATGTTGGAGGGAAATAAATTTTAAAAAAACTTCCCCCAATTAAGTGCCCAGAAGCAGAATTTAAATGGTTAAGTGGTGTTTGGTGTTCAATCTCTGCTTTCCTCTTAGAACTTAATGAATTATTTGGGCTTTGTGTTTGCCGTGTGTGTCTGTGTGTGTGTGTCTGTGTGTGAAGAAAGTGAGAACGTACATCAGATCCTAGTGAACATAAATGAAGGTGGGGGTACTTCACTCTTCTGGGTTGATGCTGCCTAATGTAAGTAGACAGCCCTTAAATGCTGTGACCCCATCATAAAGACTTCATTCATTCATTCATTCATTCGTTCGTTCATTTGGTAACTATTTATTGACCTTCCTCTGTGTGCTGGCTGTGTTCACGTTTTCCTGGCAAACAGTAAATAAAACCACCTTCCTGCCTTCACGGAGCTTACGATAAACTATTGGGTTGTTGGAAAAGTCATGAAGTATTTTTTCTATGTTTTTTGTTGCAAAAATGCGTCATGACTTTTCCGACAACCCAATAATACATAAGACAAGCGATAAACAAGTAAATATATATTATGTTAGTGGCGGCACATGCTCTGTAGAAAAACCCAGTGGGGGTGGGGTGAGGAGGGGTAGAGTGGCAGATTTACTGTTTAGATGAGGTGGTCTCAGGGAGGCCTCCTGTAATACCTGCGGTATCTAAGTTCCTCCCTATAGGTTCATTTGGCTTCTATTTCAATTTCATTCTGCTTTTTGAGATGTCATCCTGGAAATGGAAATGATTAAACCTCCTTAGTCATTGGCTTCTTAGTGTGAATATGTTTTAGATTATTTCCCTTGAGCAAATGTTAGTGGAGAGAGAATGGGAGGCAGTGGGGTCTGGGATGGGGCTGGAGGCGCCTGCGTGTGAGGGTCACTCCGCCCCTGTCACCCAGGGAGCCCCACCATGCGCACTGCTGGTGCTGTGTGGCTGCTCCATGGAATTGCCCGCCACGCTCAGTACGTGCTTGCCGATGGCATTGCCTGTTTTTCCCAGGAACACTAATTGGAGAAAGCAAATTCTGAAATGCTTTTGAGAAATGCACTGTACAACTAAGGTGTTAAGTTTTGTCTGGTTCACCTTCCTGACTGGTTTATCATTTTGCTTTATAGTTTTAAAGTGTTCCTGTCTTACTATTATTTTTTAAATGTGGAGTCTAGATGTGTCTCTAGGGATATCCCTGTCTATTTATGGACTCCGACTCAGAACATTAGATCATTCTATATAAATGGAGGGTGATTGCATTCCTCTCACTCTCCCGGCCCCATGGTTTCAGTGGGACCCGCTAGCTCTCCTCTGCATGTAGGTAGCAGTGTATACCCCACACTCCTAACCCATGACCCTGACACAGAAAGCTTGCTCTAGGTTCAGCTCTGTGGCTGCCAGCCTCGCAGTGATTGTGGGAGTGGGGTTTGTGTGTCTTCCCTCCAGGTTCTCAGGAATTCCCCTTTGCTTAAGAAGTGACCAATAAATAAGTAAATAAATAAATAAATAAATAAATAAATAAATAAATAAATAACCTGAGATGTCCTAAATTAAATTACATCCTCTGGAGAGTGAGAGAAAGAGACAAGAATAGTTAATTAGCTAATAGCTGGGGGCCAACTAATAATAAACTGCTCACAATTCCTGGATGTATGTTGGAGCTTTGAATCAACTTCTAGGCATCTGTTAGAGACCACCAGAGGCCATCGCACCCCGCTTGTGCATGAACTTGCAGGACTGTTGCCTGCAACCTGTCTAAAGTACTAAATGCAGAGGGTACCAAAAAAATGTATACACATTTTAAGAAAGGAAAAAACTATTAAAATTATGCTGATGGTAATCTTTGAGCACCTCTTGTAATTGCAGAAGTCAAATGTGACTTGTATTCATCTTTTGTTATTGGTATATATTGAGTTTTGCCATTTTAATACAGCTTCCAGAAAAGCTTTTGGCCGTGAAAGTTTGTTTTTGTTTAACATGCCGTACCAGAATTGAGGTTCTAAAAAGTTGTGTTCTATTTTGTGGTTTATACCTATAGGCATCAATGGTATAAACAGATTCTAACTTCTTTGATGTAGTATTTCTCTAGCTTTTTGGCCTCACACTGATAAATAATTTTAGATCCAGAGATGAAGGCGGCCAGTGGCACTGGTTTGCGGCAATGTAGCTGTTTTTAAAAACGAGCAAAATACATCTTGTTAAAGTATCATTTTTTCCCTTTTTAAGCAATACTGTTCAATGTCAGAATGAATCTTAATTGCTAATTTTAATATAAAACTGTGTCCTTTTTTCCAGCTTTGGCTTTGGCTTCTGAAGATGCGAAGAAAGAGGTCACACGGCCTAAGGTACTGATTCTAATGATCAAATCTGTTCTTCCCATCTGATATTTGTTAGTGTTTTCTTGAATGGGAGATGTAATGATTTTATCTGTCAGTAGTTACCAAGTTTCTTTCTTTTTCTTTTTTTTATGAATTAATGAAATGTTGGTCAACGTAGATTTTGAATCCCTAGCAGCAACCTATAGATGGGCTGGTTTTTAAAAAAAAACCTTTGATCGTTAAAGCAGATCCACTAGGTTTCAAATTTATTTTAAGAAAAAAGGTGTTTTGATGTGGAGTGAGACACCTTAGAAGCCTTGCTTGGAGACGATGGTTTTCTCTAGTCTTACCACATGTTAACCTTGGGCTTAATTTGCCCAGCCTGTGAAAGGATTATGCTGTTTCCGAGGTCGCATGTGCCTGAGTGTCCCTCACCTCGAAGGTGGCACCGTGAGAGGGCATCTTGGGGACTGGCAGAGAGACCCAGACTCCTCGCTCAGTCAGAACCTGAAACCGAGACCTAGGGGCCTGACGGAGAGGGGACGACACTCACCCAAATGGCAGAGCTCTTTCCTTTTCATCATTTTAGCACTGGTTGCGTTCTAGGATCTCATCAATTTTACCATGTGGGCTTTACGCGACATCTGTGAGGAGAAACAATATTTTAAAATATGAGTTGTTTTCTGTCGTATTAATTAAGGCTCAGTTGACTCTATTTTTTACCGCATAATTAGTGCAAAAGCATTTTTTAATGGAATGTTTCTGTTACCAATAGAGTATTATCTGTGCTCGCTGTACCGAAGGATTTCTACACAGCGGAAATAATAATAATAATTCCTTATGGTTTTCAGATTCTGTATGGTTAATTAAGCATTTTTAGACATTTCATTTAATTTGACTTCTCGATGAGCCTGTTACTGCACAGCAAACCAGACGTTCTTATGCAAAGCTGAGAAAATTTATCCTCACAGAAGTTAGTGGCTTGAATGACTGTTAAAAGGTGAAGTCAGAATCCAAATTTTCTGAACCCTTGAATTTTTCATACTGTAATTTTATGTTACACAGTCATGTACCTTATAACGTGTGTGTTTTTGCCACTAATGAGGCTCATTTAGAATGAATTTAAAGTGCTACCCAAGTGTTATTGAAATGGAACTAAAATTTTGTGTAATGCATTTAGAAATTATAGCACATACTTTTGAATACAGGTTTTAACTAATCCTTCCAAATAAGGAAATAATTCTCCTTTGCTTTAAATACACATATATAGAGATAAGGTGAGTCCTATATCTTGGTGTTATTTTTCATCCAAACGTATGAAAGCCCTTGAAAAATGTCATTAATCCCATCTGTGCTTAGGCCACAGAGCCAAAAAAGCCATTAATCTCACAAGGAGAGGCAGGGATAAAAGATCTCCTGTAGTCCATACCCGAGACGGGCAGATGGAAAAGAGTCAGTTTGTCCAGGGTCGTCCAAAGTCTGTAGGTGACTCGGAGACAGGAGTTGCCGCTCTTAACAATAACCACTTAATTTGGGGTTCTCAGTAGTTTATCACTCTCGGAAGATGTGACCAGGATCTGCCCCATCATTGCTGCTCAGAAATGGCCACCTGTGTCCCTATCACCCCCCTGCTGGCTCGGTCACACACCCCAGGCATGGCTGGGAGCATCCCCAAACAAGGCTCAGAGTCGCTGGCTGGTGTCAGGTGACTTCACATCAAAATCGTGAGTGCTATCAGTGCCCTGTGGTCCTGCTGTGGCGTGGCCTCTAAGCTCAGCCTCTTTTCTGGGCTCCCCATCCCTGCACTGAATTCTGACCTGCCCCAGCTTCGAGGGGAGCCTGCCCACCCAGGCGCATGCTCCAGGCCCTGGGAACAGCCACGGCTACGTGCCTGTTCAACCTGCAGCTTAGCCCAGGTTTGTGTCCTATGGTGACTTGTGACATTGTGTCCTGTATGACATGGGGTTAGAGTTGGACACTGGAGCCAAACTGCTGCGGGTCACATCCCTTCTTTAACACTGACCTGCTGTGGACCTTACTGGACCGCTCTGTGCCTCAGCTTCCTCAATAAGACCGGATAAGAGGACCTATCTCCAAACCTGTTTTGGAGAGAGAGAGAGAGAGAGAGAGAGAGAGAGAGAGATAGAGAGAGAGAGAGAGAGAGAGAGACAGAGAGAGAGAGAGACAGAGAGAGAGAGAGACAGAGAGAATGTGTGTGTGCGCATGTGTGCACGTGTGTCCACCAGGTGCCAGGCCCTGTTTGAATGTTTATGTGACATGAAAGCAAGAAATGTGCTGCGCAGCCTTTCAAGAGGAACCTAGATAAATCAAAGTAAAAAGAGGACCACACCTTCCTGCTTTTATTGGTTAACTTCCGTTTATGGTGGCATTTGACTTCATATGAAGTAGACAATGAGGATGGTAAAGTGAGTTACTGAGTATTTGCTTTGGGCAGACACTGCACTCAGCCTTATAGGATCTAATCAAACTCTCGCCACATCCCTGTGAAGTAGGTCTTGTAGTTATGATTCCTGTTTGAGGAGAAACTGAGGCCAGGGCTAGTAAGTGGTGGAGGTGGGAAGAACTCAGGCCCATCGTACAGCTGAGCGCCCTGATGAAGGAAGGCATTGCTGACTAATTGGTTTGATTCAGAGTCTGGCGGGTGGCAGCGTCTGTTTGTGACTGGGAAGAAGAGGCCATTTTCTCTCTTAAAATATTTCATATCACGTTCTTTTGAGGATGTCTTATTTTCTTTTAAAGAAGGATTTACAAACTAAGCCTTACATAGATGGATTGCAGGTGTTCAAATCTGTTGTGCCTTAAAAAATAAAACTGGACCAAGGGTGGCTTGGATTAGTCCCTTCCCAGCGACAGTGGACGCTGTCTGTGGGGTAGATGTGTTGGTAAAAACCTTTCTGATCTGAATAGCAGCTCAGTGGACTTATGAAATGTTGACAGCAAGCACATTTTGACTGATATTGATAGTGGAAGAAACATACGGCAACAGAGATAATAAAACAAATCACGTGTTTATGTCTTCTGGGGAAGAACTAAGCCTTCTCGCGACAGAAGCTGGAGACAGAATTTTAAATGTTCTGTCAATTCATTCATTTAGTCTAATTTTCTTTCTGAAAGGGAAAATTACTCAAGACTGTTTTGTTTCCGTTTCAATTCACCTAGTCTCACTGTTTCTTGGATATTTTATTTTTACTATTTCCAAATTGAGCCATTTGAAATGGCTAATCATTTCCTAGGTGGTATGCCAGCCAATCAGAGTGGCAGTGCTTGATGACAAAGAGAAAGAGAAAGAGGTATAATTTTGGTTGCTTTTCTTTGGTTTCACAAAGATCTTTGGTGGAAAGTCCAGTGGTGTTCTGGCTTGTTTAAGTTACTAAGTCTGGAAACACTGAATTCAGGATATTCCTTATTTTTACACTTGTTGATAAAGGTGTCATAGGTATTGTTTTTAGCTTACTTTCAAAAGGGTTTACATCTAATGATGGATGTTTTCTGAAGACCACCTCTGGAGGAAGACTGGACATGAATTTTCACAGGGGGTATAAGAAAGGAACATTGGGGAGGAGTCAAAAGATCTGTTTTAATCCTAGTTCTGTGGCTAGCATGACTGTTGGACATTGGGGAAAATCCTTTATCTTTTCTTCGTTGTCTGATTTGTAAAAGGGGCTTGTTCGATTGGATCATCTTCAATGCTGTTTGTTTTTCAATTGTGGTAAAATACACATAACGTAAAGTTTAACCACTTTTAAGTGTGCAGCCCAGTAGTGATAAGTATGGTGTTGCGTGGCCAGGCTCCAGAATTCTTTTCATCCTGCAAAACTGAAGCTCTGTCCCCATTAAACAACTGCCCCTTCCCCTCCCCCAGCCCCTGGCATTCACCTTCTACTTCCTGTCTGTGTGAATCTGACTGCTCTAGGGACCCCTGTAAGTCAAATCACACAGCATTTGTCCTTTGGTGACTGGCTGACTGATATGTTAACCTAAAAATAAAAGGCAAAGTGAGAGGCTACACACATTTATTTGCGTTTATTAAGAACAGCTATTCAGGGGCCAGCCGAGTGGCGCGGTGGTTAAGAGCTGGCTTGGGACGCCAGAGGGCCCCGGTTCAGATCCCACATATGAGGGCCAGTGACACTGCCCTCTACAGCTAAGATGCTGAACAACAGCTCGACCTGGAGCTGGGCTGCCGTGAGTCGCCGGCGACGGCGTAGGCTGCAGTCCCTGTGGCAGTGGGTTGCCATGGGCTACCGTGTGTAGCCAGCAGCCAGTGTGAGCGACTAGCAGCCATCCAGAAGCTGGTGACTGATCTGCTTCGCCCGGGAAGAGCGTAATGATGGTGCCAACTTGGGCCAGTGAAGCAACGTCCTCCACAATTACAGAAGAACAAAAAGGACAGCAGCTTGTCTGTTCCCCTTCCCCCAATTCCCCAGCGCTGTTCCCATCCCCCAATTCCCCAATTAAAAAAAAATCTTTAATAAAAAAGAACAGCTATTCAGGATGCACTATTCAGGTAGAAGGTCAGGCAGAAGCTCAAATAATGTTCCCATAAAGAGGGAAGGCAAGGTGTATTTATGAGAAGGGGAATGGGAACAACTAATAGAAGAAAGGCATTGCTATTGGTGCAGATAAGGTAACAAAGTGATGCTAATTCTAAAGACTTGTTTTTACTTTTCAGTCTAGTAGTCATAATATCTGCTTTCTTATTATTTTTGTAAACAGTTTTTTTTATATGCAATATTGCCTTAGGCCCAGTCCAAAGATTATTTTGCTGTTTTAACATCCAAAGGTTTGAGGCCTAAGATAGGCCAGGTGGTTCTTCTGGGATGGCAGGTCCTGCTCTATTTATATTATTTTTTACATCACTTAGCACAGGGGTCGGGAAACTGGCTCACGAGCCACATGCGGCTCTTTGGGTATGTCTGTCTCAAAAGTTTGCCAATCCATGGAAGAGCCAATCCTGTCCCTCACAACAATTTAAAACTTATTCGAGAGCCATAAATATATTTTTACATAATCACCATTATGTGACTAATATCCTTTAAAAGTTTTATAAAGGAAACTATGATAGTTTTATTTTCATTTTCAATTTTACTTCAGAGCCTGTGGCTCGCAAGTCACAGTTTGCTGACCCCTGGCGGCTCTTCCTTCTCAAAAGTTTGCCGACCCCTGACTTAGTGTAATGTCCTCAAGGTTCAGCCACATTGTAGCATTGCTTTCATTTTTAAGGCTGAATAGTATTCCATTGTATATACATACCACATTTCCTTTATCCATTCCAATGCTATTCTGAGAGCTAAAATTTCCTGTTTTCTATGAGCCCCAAGGAGAAGGCAGGAGGTTAGCAGTGGGAGCTGAGACTCCTCTGAATCCGAAGCCAGCACTGCTTCCCGGGAGCAGGCCGTTCTCTGGGCCACGAGTGGCACTTAGCATATGGGAGACGCAGGGAGTCCGCACATGCTGGCTTAGGATGGTCCTGTCTGTGGTACCACATTTACAGAAGTGGGTTGAGCTTTCCAGTCTGTGTTTTTTTTTTTTTTTTTGTCTCTTCCAAAAAGTATGTGTTTTTTTTTTTTAAATGAGTTCACTTTTTTTTTTTTTTAAAGATTTTTTTATTGGGGAACTGTGGGAGGGAAACAGTGTTGGGGAGTTGGGGAAGGGGAACAGCCAAATTGTTATCCTTCAGTCTTAGTTGTGGAGGGTGCAGCTAGCTCAGCTCCAAGTCCAGTTGCCATCCGTCCACCCGTCGGCAGCTTGCAGCTGCTCAGCTCAAGGTGCCGTGTTCAATCGAACTGGCAACTTTGTTATGAGGAGCTTGTGCTCTGACCACTGAGCATTCCGGCTGCCCATCAGCAGCTCAGGGCAGCTCAGCTCGGGCGCAGCTCACTGGCCCATGTGGGACTCAAACTGATGACCTTGTTGCTCAGAGCTCGCGCTCTTAACCAACTGAGCCATTCAGCTGGCCCAAAAGTACGTGTTTTATCAGGAGCAAGTAAAGGGTCATTTAATCCTGGGGCGAACCAAATGAGTACGTAGCTATGGGGTTCTTCATGACTCAGTGGTATTTCTGTTCTTGAGAGAATGATCATTTCAGAAAATGCCACTGAAGGCAGACATGCTCCTGTGTCTCACGGTCTCCCCCCCCCCGTCTATTGTCACAGTCCCTTTGGCATTCTAAGAGACTGCATCTCTGTGTGGCTGTGTCTTGGCGTTTAAGCTGCTCCCGGTTTGTTTGTAAGGGGTCAGCATCACGCTCTCATTGCAGCCTGTGAAGAAAAGGGAAGGATATTTGCCACTGTGCAGCTGTTATAACATTTGGCGGTTGAAAGCAGGAGAGGACAATTAGAAAATCCCTTCCTTCTGCCGGGGAAAACAATGGAAATGGCAGTTAGCTGCTGACACTTGGCACTTTGTTAGAGAACCTTTGAACTTCTCCCCTGATTTACCCTGGATCAGGACTAGGTGTTCTGTGCCTATGTCCAGATTCTGTGTGTGCAGCGCTGCAGCGCTACAACCCCCGTCTGGGCCCATGAATCCTCACAAACCACAGGCGACCATCTCCAGGGCCCCAGTGCAGCTCCTCAGGTGGAGAGCACACTGTGTTGACAGTCCTGTGGGTACATCACCGCCCGAAAGATGAGAAGTGCAGTAATCAGCAGGGCTCATCTTCACAAGGAGCACATTACCAGAACCGATACTATCTCTGCTGTTTGCAATGCTTTAGAGTTTACAAGTGTTAGAAAAAAAAAAATGGAGCTGGAGCTGCTGTGCAGGAAGAGCAGCCTTGCAGGTCTTAGGCCTCAAATCTTGGATGTTAAAACAGGGCAAAATAACCTTTGCATTGGGCCTAAGGCAACATGTATCCCAAAGAACTATTGGCAAAGAGAACAAGAAAGCAGCTATTACGACTACCAGACTGATGACTACCCACTGAAAGGTAAAAACATTCTTTAGAATGAGCATCACTGTGTCATGTTATCTGCACCAATAGCAGTGCTTCCTTTCTGTTGCTGTCACTGTTCCCCCTTCCCCTTTGCATAAATACCATTGTCTTTGTCTCCTACTCAGAACACTACTTGGGTTCTGCCTGAATTGATGCGTCCCAGTAGCTCCTCTTTTGGATCTCAAATAAATGCTGTTGCCTCTCACTTTGAAAGGCCTTTTTTAGGTTAACGTGTGATTTTCGAATTAATCTCCCGAGAACACTGTGAACCAGTTAGGCGCTAGCTCCAAGTCACAAAGGAGGAAAGAGCCTCAGCTCAATTAAGAGATTGCCGAGATCACAGAAGGAAGGGACAGCCCCTGGGAGGCGCCTATCAGGATGCCGAAGCACATCACTGCTGCTTTTCCCCCTAACTTTGGTCTGTGTTTTTAGGCAAACGTTTCCAAGCTCTTATCTTTCATTTCTTTCCTCAAAGTGTACCGTACATATTTATTCGGTGTAGTGTTAACTTTGTTACGTGATGAGATTTATCTTTTTCTCTTCTGTTTAAAATACAGAATTTGGAGAAAAGTGGAATATCGAGGAAAAACGACATAGGTAAGAAATGATTTTTTTTCTTTTAACAAGTGTATTTCTTGTAAATTATGTTTCGGTGAAGTGCATTTTTCTTTCCAATTTTATTTATGCTGTAAATATTGTTGTCCGAATACGCTGTCTTTGGCCCAGCCCAGCGTTTATCCTCATGAAGACACAGGAGAACGCATCTCACACTGACATTCGCATGGGGTGTGTATCGAATTAACGCCTCGTGGGCTGGATTTAGTTCCTTCTGCCATCAGTTTCTGAGTTTCCAATGAGGGCAGATGAACTGTCAGGGGGGCCCTGTGGGGATGGCACAGTGGAGTAAGGCATCGTCTCCATGACTGAGGCCCACACCAGCAGGAGGGAGGGATGCGCTGGGGCCTGCGGTGCCCTTCTCTCCCTGGAGCCCGGCTGCCTACTGCGGACCCACAGACACCACTGACCCTCCTGCTCAGCCCACCCATACGTCTTCTGTGCGACTCCTGATCCCAGGCATGGACGCGACTCCTTGCTCCTTTGCAGACACGTCACACTCCTGTCGCCGCCCATATACACTCTTATCTGCAACCTCTTTCAGCACATCTGTCCACCAGTATATTGTGTCTTCAGGGATGTGGCCAAGAGTTAGTCTTTTTTGTATTCTGTGGGAAACATGCCCCAGTGTGTGGATGAGGGAGGGTAAGGCCACACCTCTCCCCAGAGGGTGTGAACTTTGTCACCGTCAATCATCCCAGGGTAGGCCACGGAGACCTGGAAGATGGTCCTGGACAGGAGGAAAAGGTACACCTTCCTTTTTAGGCCTTACTTTCTGGGCCTGGATTCTAAGAAGTCAGGAAGGCAGGAGAGGCCCCTGGCGGCAGGGGAGGATGGCCTGTATGGGGTAGGTACCTCTGAGGCCTAGGCACACGGGGAGCACAGGGCAATGGGTGGGGGTCTGTGGGCTCTGAGAGCAGCCTTTTGTAAGGGGACACAGTCCTTCATTGCCTTTTCTTCTCTCCATGAAAACATCCTGCATGGTTCAGCCACTCCTCCCTGAGTGAAGATTTTCTCTCTGCTGCTAACCATGTGAGTTTGGGCATTTGTCTGTATATTTGTTTTATGGGAGCTGATGGGTCTCCTCGTAATAAAATAGTTATTAAACGGACTAATGACTGTCATTGGGAACACGGGCTTGAAAGGACCAAAGGGAAGTTACCTGGGCCAGAAATTACATTCTTGCGATTGCAAATGGCCAATGTGGTAACACTTACCCTGGTGTCATTTCATCTGAAAAAGACTCCGGGGCTTATTGGTCACAATCTTAATGAGTCTATAGGGCCGGGGCTCCTAAGGCAGCTGCCAGTAGAGTCCAAGTGTTTAGCTCGCGTCTCAGTGCTCAGGGCTGGGTGACAGCCTCCCGGGGCGGCAGTCTGGTCTTCTCTTCCAGCTCACTGCCTAATCCTTACATCCACTAGTGACATTATTCTTGCCAAGTGACACATAATTGGAGAGGCTCTTTGTGTGTGTGTGCCTGCATGCATATTTGTCCCTCAGTCTTAAATCATGAGGCTGCTTGTTATTCAGCGTTTATCTGAAGGATGCCACATTGGTGTTCATCAGAAAGATACCAGCACATGAGATCCGTGTTTCCCGATAGTTTCTCACCAGGAGACACCGGTGCTTTCAGAGTATGTGGCACGGCAGGATGCTCAGCCCTGCAGGAATCGAGGGCTTTTGCTTTCCTCCACTTCCTCAGAGAAATCTCTCCTCCTGCAAGCCGCCTTTCTAACCTCCCTGGTGCTGAAGCCTTCACTTAACGCTCTTGGTGCCTCACCACTGGCTTCGGTCCCTTCCGTACCCTTGACTGATTTCTTTGCCTTCCCTGTCACACTCATCATTATTGTCAGGCACTTACTGTACAACTCATTTGTCGCACTTTCCTGGAGGAACAATGACAATCTGTCTTGACTTGTGACAGTGTTTGGTGGAAGCAAATTGCATTGAGTTTAGGGACATGCAGGCAACGTGAGAGGAAGTAGTGGGACTGTCTTATTAGGTCCAGCAATGGGGCAGTGGGCAGCGTCAACAGAGAAGGCAGCTACCCAGGTGAGCTGGGATCTAGGCTCCACCAGTACGAGACTCAGAGGGAGGGCTTAGAGTGCTTGTCAGAAAGTATTTCTCGGTGCTGATGCAGAAGAATGGCAGGAATTTACACATGTAAGCTCTTTTCGGCACTAAGCAGTACCAGCCTGGTTCTCCTCTGAAAGGGGCAAGGGCTGAATGGCACAGAGGGGATTTTCTGTCGTTCCTTATTATCAGGGTTTTGGGAACCGGGCGCACCCTTCCTCCTTTGCCTCACCGCCTGCAACTCCCCCATAAGCATCCTGTTCTTTAGCCATACCTAACAGTTCAGATTTTCAGAGCCCTAAATTTCACTTGCTGTCCCAAACCTTCACTGCTCCCTCTGTGAGCAAGGCCCTCCCCTCTCTCCTCGGGGTGTCCCCAGGACACAGTGTCCTCATCTGCTCCTCAGATGGCTCCTCAGCCCTTCCCCAATTGAAAGCAATGAATCTGGAGCCCCAGCCTCTGAGTGGCGTCTGAGTCCTTCATGATCTAGTCTGGCTGATCCAGCCTCCATCTCTAACTTTATCACTGACTGTTCCCTATGATGTGTTCTCAGAAATGCCTGACACACTCCCTGGTCACCACTCACAGATGCTGCCGAGATAAGGCCTGCTGTGGGCTCCGTGATAAACCCACTTCTGTCTCTGCCGCTGTCCTGCAACCCTCTGAGCCTCAGCCTGCAGAAATGGCTGCTTTTCAAAGAAAACTGCTAACACCTCCTGCCAGAAGCTCTTTTTGCACTACCTCCCCCTCCCCTGTGTCCCCAAGGTTCCCTGTGCGGGCTCTGGTTTTGCACTTACCCGTTTGTGTTATGATGGCCTTTCTTTTTAAAAATTTTTTTAAAGTTTTACTATTTTAACTTAAGTATAGATGGTATACAATATTTATATTCATTATATTCATTTCAGGTGTACAATATAGTGATTCCATATTTTTATACCTTGCAATGTAATTGCCACACTAATTCTAGTAACATCTGTCACCGTGCAAACCTATCACAATATTATTGATATATTCCCCTTTCGCTTTTCACCCATTGACCCCCCTCCAGCCCTTCCCTGTGGTAACCATCTTTTTGTTCTCTGTTTCTATGAGTCTGTTTTGTTCGGTTCGTTTTTTTTAGATTCCACATAAATGTGAAACCATACAGTATTTGTATGACTTAATTTCACTTAGCATAATACCCTCTAGGTCTATCCATGTTGTTGCAAATGGTGAGATTTCATTCTTTTTTTATGGCTCGGTGATATACTGCATTTTATATATGTACCACCTATTCTTTATCTAGTTGTCTATCGATGGACACTTAGGTTGCTTCTGTATCTGGCTGTTGTAAATAACACTGCAGTGAACATAGGGGTGCATATGTCTTTTCAAATTAGTGTTTTCATTTTCATTGGATGAACACCCAGAGTGGAATGGCTGGGTCATAAGGCAGTTCTATTTTTAGTTTTTTGAGGAACCTCCCACCATTTTCCATAATGGCTGCACCAATCTGCATTCCCACCAACAGTGCACTAGACTCGGGTGCTGATGTGCAGGGACTGTGTTCGGTCACCTTTGTGTCCCAGAGTCTTGCACTTGGTAGAATCTCAGTCAGAAATGTTTGCTGAATGAATGCACAGAGCATGTGTGACCGAAGCCCATGAGAAAGGAAGGGGACGATTTCTCATTAGTGGAAGAAACACGTGGCACATGAGCCAGGTGTGTGAAAGGGGCAGTTTGCTTTTTATTCTTCTTGCAAAGCCTCTTCCCTGCATTGGGCCAAGGATAGCGGGAGCTTTGCTGAGCTGACAGGAGTGGCAGGAGCTGGTTTCTGTGCTGAGTGCTGGGTTGGCCTTTGACAGATGCATCTGCCTTGTTAGAAATTTCATTATGAATTATTTTGAACATGCAAAGCTACAAAGAGTGAGATAATGGACCTACCACTTCGCTTAAGAAATGAAACATTGCTAACAGCTGGAACCCTTGAACCATGACCCAAATATTGTTTATGAGTCTCGTTAGTCTTACATTTTCAAGTCGTGTGTACATAAACATATAGACGCGTACGTGCATAGCACATGCCCACTATGCATGTTTGTGTTTGTGTCTTTGTAAACCAGTGATTTATATCATTATTCCTTGACAGCTTGCTCTTCTCAGCCTTCTATCTGTACGATTTGTCTATAGCACCACCTGGGCTGATGTTCATAGTGCTGGTTAATTTTTGTGACTACATAGTATTCCTGTCTGTGTTTCTCGTTAGTGGGTATTTAGTTGCTTCCAGTGTTTTCCTTTTACACAGTGCTGTCGGGAGCATGCTTGTTATAGACCCTCGTACACGTGTGGGGGGTTTCTCAAGGTCGGCTCATAGCGGTGGAGTTTCTGGGGCACTGGGCATGTGCCTCAACTTCATTACAGTTTGCAAAATTATTCCCTGACATTTTACTTCCTTCTTAACAAAAGTAAATCTTTATAACTTTCACGTGTCAGTTTATGTTAATATTTTAGGTGTAGTGGATGGAAGATTACAGTTTAGCTGAACTAGAATACACCACTTAAGCCTAATTGGGGTGTCCTTTTTACAGAGCCACGAGCTGCCTGAAAGTGGAGGTAGATATGTGCAGTCTTCATCCTTGCATACACTACTGAGAAGCACTGAGGTCATATTCGGTCAACTGTTCAGCAGTTCCTCTTACATTTTTTTATGGAGTTTTAACCAAAGAGCATTTAGATTATTTTTAGGATCTGGATGGCTCACTGTGGAACAATTTGTTGTATGAATATTTGAGAGAGTGAATAAATGAATGGAACTATAGAACTGAACATAAGAGCAATAAAATATAGTGGAATAAAATTAAAACCAAATTAGTGTCCCAGAGTCGAGGTGTTACAGGGAAAGGCTCGTGGTGGGGGGGGGGGACGGTCCCCACATTCCTTTCCTGTAAACCTGGCTGGAGGCCACGGTGAATGTGACACCTGCCTTCTGCCAGCACCTGGCTGGTGGCAGTTTCTATTCTCTGTTACAAGCTCTGAGCCAGGGCAGGCCTGCTGTGCTTCTCCACGCTGCGGCCTGAGCACCCAGTCCCTCAGGACGACCTCTGATAGTCTTGGTTCGGTGGGTGTGACATACCAGTTTGTCAGTCATACACGAGCTTTTTCATGCAACGCTGCTTGCTAATGCCTCGCTGCTGTGAAATTGAGATTTTCCTGAACAGTGCCCTCAGCTCTGGCTGGGTGCCTTGTGAGGTCGGGCCGGGAAGACTTTGGGTTACGTATTCGCAAGTTCTTGTGAACTCATGGGACATACACGGTCACTGTTGAATGTCACCTTGAAGGACCATCCAGAACATTCTTGAGGTAGTGTGTTAGTTTGCTAGGGTGCAGAAACAAAGTACCACAAATTGTGTGGCTCAAAAACAGAACTTTGTCTAATGGCTCTGGAGGCTGGAAGTCTAAGATCAAGGTGTGTTCTAAGGCCTCTCTCCTTGGCTTGTAGACGGCCGTCTTCTCCCTGTGTCTTCACTTCATTTTCTGTCTGTGTCCACATTTCCTCTTTTTATAAGGACACCAAATATATTGGATCAGGGTCCACACTAGTTACTTCACTTTAACTTGATCACCTGTGTAAAGACCCAATTCCTCATAAGGTCATGTTCTGAGGTCCTGGGGCTCAGGACTTCAACATAAGAAGTTTGGGGGACACAATTCAATCCATAACAGGTAAAGGTACAGTGTGGGATTGTGTTTGCTGCTTGTGAACAAGATTTTCAGCTGCTGGTGGAGGGGGTGGGGGAGGGGGAACGTGGGTCATTGTTCTAGACATCTGCCTACTCCCCCATGTTTATAGTCATTCCTTTTGACAGGGGCAGGAGCAAATTCAGTGTTACCACAGGTGTGGCCTAGTACAGTGAGCTGATTGACTTGCTGACTTCTAGGCAGGAAGTTTCGGAGATCAGTTTAAAAAGAGATTTTATCACTAGAATTCCATATACATTGATTTTTTTTCCCCTAAGAGTTTTATTGTCTGAAGCCTTGCCTTATAGCTGCCTTGTTTTTAAACTGTTTTCAGGTTTATTTCAGTTGTTAAAATATAAATACCTGAAAAGTTTTTTCTTTTTTGGTTCTAGATTTAAAAGGAATTGTATTTGTCATCCAGAGTCAAAGTAATTCTTTTCATGCAAAGAGAGCAGAACAGTTAAAAAAAAGCATCTTAAAGCAAGCTGCAGATCTTACTCAGGTATGTGGAGATGGTTTGGGATGTTCACTAATATTTATTTATTGATACATTTTTGTTTTCCAAAGCACTTGGTCTCTATAGAGAATCAGTTTTATTTATATGAGAATAATTCTTCTGACTTGTCTTGCTTATTTATATTGACTGTATACGGTTTAAAATGTGCTAATTAATTCCTAATGCTCAAAACATCGTATTCTAAATTATTATATATATTTTAAGTTTAAGAGAATTACATAATTATGTAGGACTGTCATGGTTTTGTCATAAAATATAAGTAGAAGTGGAAGAAATAATTTTTTAAAAGCAAGGTTTAAAATAGCAGAATAATTAATGCCCAAAATTTTGGTAACAATTTCTAAGGCAGTTTTCATGTTGAAATACTATTTTGATTAGCCTTAGTGTGATGTTTCCTCTGTGAGTCTCTTAATCTGTTTTTTAATTGGATATCATTAATTGAACTTTTGATTCGATTTATAATGTGTTACCTGAGAAGGATCACGGAGAGAAAGATCGACACGTACAGGTACATTTTAACAAAGTTTAAAATAGACATGAACTGAATTTAATGCTGGAGGTGTGGGGCAAAGGGAGCTGCACCTTGAGTCGCCATATTGGTGCTTTCTTCTTCAGCCAATTGACAAAAATTGCTCAGGCCTGCTGCGCTGCCCTGCCCTGCCACAGCCTCCAGGACGGAAGTGCGTGTCTGGCTGCGTGCCAGCCCTGGTTGTCTCGGCAGGCACCCTGACGGGAGGCGTGTGTGCATGATGGATTGCTGTCTTTCTGTTGGTGGGGGCTGGGAACACAGGGTTGGACATGTTCAAGGAAAAATGAGCCACCTTAATGATACTGAAGGCTGAGACACTGCTGGGATTAAAGCTTGTGTTTCATCCTGAAATGCTTTATAGACAAGATTTTCAGCCTCCTCGCATCATTGCGAGGACAGGGCCCTGGGTCCCTCGCTTGGAGCATCACACCTTCTCACGGGGGAGGGAAGCATTGCCCGCTACAGGCAGGTGGCTTTTTCCGGTGTAGGTAGGAGCAGCTGGACGAGTCTGGAATTCTTTGTCTGGAAACCCAGCTTTTAGAGAGTTTCTTCTACAAACCTTTCCTGACTTCATCTGAGAGGCAGACATGCCTTACCTGGCTGGGCTTCTTCCGTTTGCTCCGTGGAAGTGGAGCCACTAGTGGAGTGGACAAAGGAGGCTGCTGCAGGGGTGGGAGGACAGCCAGTAGCCCTGAGTTGGGTCCTGGCAAGACGGAATGAGGTCCGCTGGGCCTTGGCAGTTACCCCACTGTGTGATCAGCGATGACATCAGACAGTTATGTGTCACTCACTCTTCCATGAGTGCAGGGCGTGTGCATCCCTGTGTGCCCATGTGTGTCCTTGCTCTCAGGAGCACCTTCTGTCTTGTACAGGCCGGTCCGTGTGTCTGAGATTATATACCTTCCCCACTGAATTTGTATTAATCATCCTTGACGTTGAGGTGGAAATGCCAGCCATTGCCAGCCAAGGCCAGGTGACCGAGGGTCCCCATAGTTCCTCCACAAGTGGTCCCCTCCTTCTTGTTTTGGACTTTTTTGTGCAAAGAGGTACTCGCCACAGGCTCTCTTCCTACCTTTCCCGGCACTCTTTTGGGAAGTGTGGCTTCCAGGGGACCTTGGGGCCGATCGTATGTACTCCCAGGACTTGACTCAAGTGGGAATAAGGCATGTGGGTACCTTTCGGTGGGAGCATGGATATTACAACTTATTTCTTCTTTTCTTCCCCTTAGGGAAAATGAGACTTGTGAGGGCACTGCTTCTTCAGGAGGCCCTGGGGCTCCGCAGAGGGTAGGGCCCTGGATGCTTAAGGCTGGCTTTAGGCTCGAGGGCAGGGTGATGGTCACAGGCCCCATCGAAGCCGGGGTCACAGGTCCCCATCTAAGTTGAGCTTGTCAGTCGTGTTTAGGAGTGGAGGACAGGTGTTGGCCGGAGTTTTTCCATGTCTCAAGATTGGAGGCAGGAAGGCCAGCCAGGGAGGGTGTGAAGGGTGGAGATCCACAGAGCGCTGGCTACCGCAGGCTTGCCGCCTTTCGCCAGCACAGCCACACCAGAGCTTGTGAACCAAAGTCCCTATCTCTGGGTCCCCTGGCACTTTCTTTGCCAGTCATTTAAACTTGTGACAGTTCCTGGGATCACCTTGCTGTGCCTGCCTCTGTGGCTTTGGCAGATTGTACACTTAAAATTTGTTAAGAAGTTAGAGCTCATATTAAGTATTCTTACCACAACACAAGAAAAAAATTCAATAAAGATTCAGCACTAGCTAGGTCAGGGGTAGGAGTAGGGGAGAGCTTTCTGGATGGGTAGCCAGGTAAAGGTGGCCAGGTGAGAAGCAGGAGCATGGTGCATGTGGGCCCTGCCTGTTGTCCTGGTGTGGGGTCAAGCGGGAGGTGGCAGTGAGGGCGGCCAGCCTGGACAGTTAGGTCGGGACCTGATCACAGAGGAGCTGTATGTCCTCTTGAGAACCCAGGCCTTTCCCAGGGGCATTTGTGGTATTTTGAGAGCAATGTCTTTGATGTCCAAGACATTTAGCATGTCTGGCCCCTGGCAGTACGTGTCGGAGGGACCCGTAGTCCTATCACTAAAAGTGCTCCCTGTTAGAATTACTGCTGGGGAGAGCGTTAGGGCTGCGACCTGCTTGGATTTGCAGTTTAAAACCGTCACTCGAGTGGCTGTGAGGTGAGCAGCTTTAAGAGAGCCAAGACTGGGGCAGGGGGCCCAATTCTTAGGTGGTGGTGGTAGGGGTGACGTGGGGCCCGAACGGGGGACATTGGGCCCATGTGGGGGCTGAAGGGGAAGTCAGGACAGGTGTCCAGCTAGGACTGAGGGAGGGTGGGGTGGGCCACCATCTGAGGCTGAGGGTGATGGATTTGCAGGGTGAAAGTGCCGATGACTCAGGTGTCTGTAGATGAGATCTGAGGTGGGGGGTCAGCGGTGGGGGCTGCGTATTTGTTTGAAGCTCAGGAGAAAGGTGTGGCCAGAAGATGGTGGGTCTGGGAGTCAGCACCATGCACAGTGCCTGAGGGCTTGCAGATGCTCCTTCCAGGGCAGTGGTTGGACCCAGGGGACCCACGCCGGGAGGGCTGGGCAGAGCGGGAGCAACCCTCCCAGGACACAAAGGACAGAGAAGGGGCCTCACGGGATGTCACACAGTGGTCAGTCCTGTTCCCCTGAGAGGACTCAGGAGGGCATCAAAATGTCCATGTGACTGGACAGTGTGTGTGGACTCCCGCCGGTACCCTCATCTCAGCGGCGTCCCCCCCAGAGCGCTTTCTTGCTGCCGGTGGTGCCACTGCCACTGTGGTGGTTATTTGTAATTGTGGTAAAAAACATACAACATAAAATTTGCCATCTTAACCATTTTTAAGTGTACATTTTTGTAGTATAAGGTACATTTAGTTACGGTGTGCAACCCATTTCCAGAACTTCTTTATCTTCCCAACTGAAACTCTGTCCCCATTAAATATTGGGTTGTCGGAAAAGTCATGACGTATTTTTCTATGTTTTTCGTTGCAAAAATGCGTCATGAGTTTTCCGATGACCCAATAATTACTCCCCATTTTCCCTCCCCCAGTCCCTGGGGACTCCCATTCTCCTGTCTGTCTCTATGGATTTGATGACTCCAGGGGCCTCATATAAGTGGAACCACACAGGATTTGTCTTTCTGTGACTGGCTTTTTTCACTGAGGACGGGGTCCTCCAGGTCCATCCACCCTCAAAGCTGTAGCGTGTGGCTGCATGTTATCATTAGTGTTATTTTGACGGACTCTCCTCCATTCCCTGCTGGTGACCTCCATGCTCATTTGGTGCCCCACGTGGGTGCCCCGTGTTCCCTCTGTCCTTTAGGGCATCTGTCCTGCCCTCAGACCAGACCTGCTCTGTGCTCCACGCTCCACCCGTGGCCCCTCGGGCACCTAGTGGAATATCAAACGCAATACCAGCAACAGGGTCGTCACCGGTGTGTTGTTCTCAGCTTTTAAAACTTAGAGAACAGCTCCGTTCATCTGAAGTACTTAACTTTCCTTGCACTTCATTCTGTGCTATTTTGTTTCAGTGTGTTTATATTTAATTTTTATTGTCCTTGACGTTTATAATTTTCCCTTCAGACAACCTGTTTTGTAGGTGACTCACATTGCCACTAGGTGGCAATATTGGTTTTGCATTTCAAGACAGGTAATTAAGCAGTATCATTAAGCAAACCTCTCTCCCCCAACATTTAATTTCTGTGATAATAAGAGGAATATGGACTAAAGCAGTAAGGAAGCTGCTCTTTAATAACAAGGTAGTCTATTTTTGTTATTCTGAAATTCTTTCCTGGGATGGAAGCTAGCTGAGTACTCAAGCATAGTAAGTCCTCACTTAACGGCATCCATAGATTCTTGGAAACTGAAACGACGTATAAGGAAACCAGTTTTCCCCTAGGCTGATGGATGGAAACAAGAATTAGGTTCCCACGGCATATTTCTGGTCACAAAAACATCACCAAACTTCTAAGTAAAGACCCCAAACACTTCTCATATTAAACACTGAAATCAACATGAGAGCTACACCCATTTAAGAAAGATGAGTAAATATGAGTGAGATAATGATTTTCCAGCTGCTTTTCCAGTTCAGGGTCGTGGTGGCAGAGTCCATCCCAGCAGTTCAGGGGACCAGGCGGGACCCACCCTGGACAAGACGCCCTCCCATCACAAGGCTACCCAGCCCCAGTCAGACGGGGACAATGGAGACACGCCAGTTCTCCTCACATGCACACCTTTGGGATGTGGGGGGAACCAGAGTCCCTGGAGAAAACTCACGTGTTTTCTCTGCACACAGACAGAGGCCGCGTCTGGGAACCGATACTCGTTTTCTCATCAGTGTTGTAAATAACAAAACATTGAACAGACGGTGTTATTCGAGGACCTACTATAGTTTGGAGAAAACGTCAGCCCTCGGGTTCAGTTCACGCAGTAGGTCCA